CTTATTAATTTTTCTGGCCGCCTTGCATTCAAACAATTTCTCCCCTGCAAGCGTGCCAGATATGGGGTCAAGATGTAGAAGACCTGTGAGAGGACAACAGGCTATACTTATAAGTTTCGGATTTACGAGGGAAAAGATAGTCACGTGGAGCCCCCCGGATGCCCAGAATACATGGGGAGCAGTGACAAGATAGTTTGGGACTTGGTGTCATCATTTCTCCATATGGGGTACCACTTTTACGTGGACAATTTATAGACATTTTATTCAATCTTGGAACTGGCACTTGTGGCAAAGTGTGACCTAATGTGTGCCCACCATTAGAATTGGGTGGATGCAGGGCGGTATATTCTAATGGTGGGCATACCACACACTTTTTCTGGCAGAGATTTCTTCTCATTTTTTCATTCAGTCCACTGGCTGCATACAAAAAAAAAAAAGAACATAGCATATATAACCAACAAGGACCAGCAATGTACTGGTACATCACTGATTTGAATGGTTATACCAGGATGATGCCTACAGCTGCAGGCATCATCCTGGTGTCGTTTTTTTCAGCCGGTGATCGGCTTTCATGTAAAAGCAATCCTAGTGGCTAATTAGCTGCAAGATTGCTTTTACAAGCAGTGGGAGATTATGTCCCCCCTCCCCCGCTGCCTTCCACGGCCTTCTCTGGGCAGTCCCGTGCCATCAGGGGAACCTGAGAATGCAGCCAGTGTTTCTGCCAGCTGACCATAGAGCTGATTGGAGACAAGAATGGTGCCAATCATCTCTATAGTCTAAGAAAACGGAAGCTACAAGCATTTCATCACTTCAGTTTCGTAGGATATAAACAGTGCCATTTGTAAATTGGGAAAGCATCTGATCACACCGATTTTGGTTTGATTAGGTAATGTCCTTACATTACCTAATCAAAGGAGGAGATATCTAGAGTCTGATAGACCCCAGATTTCTCAAAAAAGAATATATGACAATGCCCATTGAAGTTATAGGGGTTATTCGCATTCCCTGTTATAGCATTAAAAGTGAAAAAAAAAAAAATGAAAGGTACAATGTAAAAATAATAAAAAAAAAATAAAAATAACTAAAAAAAAAAAAAAAAAAAAATTGCCCCTCCCATGCGCGCACACCTGTGTGCACAAGCTTTGACCCTGTGCCGTTATGTAAACAGCGGTTACACCATGCATGTGAGGTATTGCCGTGAACGTCAGATCAAGGGCAGTAATTCTAACACTAGACCTCCTCTGTAAATCTAAAATGGTGGCTTTTAAAGGCTTTTAAAGCGCTGCCTATGGATATTAAAAATGTTTGCAGTTTGTCGCCATTGAACGGGGCATGCGCAGGTTTAAAGCATGTCATGTTTGGTATCTATTTACTTGGCATACCATTATCTTTTATATTTTACTAAACAATTGGCCAATATATTGTGTTTTTGTGCATTAAAAGTAAAAAAAGTGTATTTTTTTTTTTTTTAAAAATTGATTTTGAAAAATCGCTGCGTGAGTACTATGTGCCATAATAAATTATAGTACCCACCATTTTATTCACTAGGGTGTCTGCTTTAATAAAATATATAATATTTGGGGGTTTAAATTAATTTCCTAGCAAAAAATACTGATTTTTTTCATGTGAACAAAAAGGCTTGGTCTTCAGGTGGTTAGAAGAGTGAATGATGTGTGGCATAAACTTCTAATGTTCTATAAACTTCTATATAAAAAATTACATAAAACGCCCCCACCCCCCAAAATGACCCCTTTTTGGAAAGTAGTCACCCCAAACTATTTGCTGAGAGGAATGTGAATCAATAGAAGAATTTATTTTTTTACCACAAAATTTTTGGAAAATGCCAAAAATAAATATATATTTTTTTTTACACAAAATTGTCACTTAAATGATTTACTGCTCACACATGCCATGGTTATATGTGGAATTACTCCCCAAAATACATTTTGCTACTTCTCCCGAGTATGGGGTACCACATGTGAGAGACTTTTTGGCAGTCTAGCTGTCAGGGCAGGGCTGTGGAACGGACAGGTAGGCCTAGTGGCAGGGTAATGCACTGACTGACGACAACCACCACCAACAGACCGAAGTCCCTCAGGGCGCGGAGTCTAAGTTCCAGGCTGCCCTTCACCAGGGCCCCTGATGGTGGGGATGGACTTGACACAGCCAGGAACCAGGTCGCAGCCCCCGAGACACCCTGGCGGTGGTAATGGCCGCCGCCAAGGGCCTGTAGCCGGTAAGAATGACAATAGCGTAGTCAGGCAGGCCGGGTCGACAACAACGGAAAAAAACGGTACAGAACAGTAGACAGAGAATCACAGGTCACGGGCCGGGTTCAGCAACGGAAGGTCAGATTGAAGGAAAACACAGAGAATGGTCTTAGTCACAAGCCGAGTCAGATACCAGAAGAGTCATGAGAGTATACACAGAGCTGTAGCAAGACCAAGACACAAGACACAAGTGCAAAGAGCATGTGCGGATCACAGGCTTATGTGTACTCAGCCACACCCCTCTGGGGGATGGACCTCAGAGACCTGAAGGCATAAAAGACTCCCACCACTCCCACTTCTGTAGAAACCCAAGATGGACGCCAGTACATGAAGCCGCACAGTCTCTGGGAAAAGGTAGGACCTTGACACTAGCCAAGTACAGGACCCCAAAATCCAATAAGCACCTTCAGGCTTTTAAAGGGCTTTATTTCCTCATTACACTTCCAGACTACCTATCACAGTTTCGGAGGCCATGAAATGCCAGGATAGCACCTAACCCCCCCCAAATTACCCCTTTTTGGAAAGTAGACGCCCCAAGGAATTTGATAAAAAGCACGGTAAGTATTTTGCAGATCTCATTTGTTGCCACAAGTTTTTGGAAAATGAAGAAAAAAAACAAAAACATATTTTTTTTTCTATTTTTTTTATATTTCAAAACCTTGTGAGAAAAAATGAGATCTACAAATACTACTCACCATGCTTCTTTTTAAATTCCTTGGGGTGTCTACTTTCCAGAAAGGGGTCATTTGGGGGGGTTTGGGGCTATCCTGGCATGTCAGGGCCTTCGAAACTGTGATAGGTAGTGAGGAAGTGTAATGAGGAAGTTACGCACCTTGAGGCTTTCAAAGTGGTCATTGGATTTCAGGCTCCTGTATGTGGCTAGGCTCTCAAAAAGTCTCACACATGTGGTATCCCCATACTCAGTAGAAGTAGCAGAATGTATTTTGGGGTGTAATTCCACATATACCCATGGCTTGTGTGAGAAATAAATCATTTAAATGACAACTTCATGTAAAAAAAAAAAAAAACGTTTTTGTCATTTTCCAGAAACTTGTGGAAAAAAATAAAACCTTCCATGGACTCAATATGCCTCTCAGCAGATAGCTTAGGGTGTCTAATTTCCGAAAAGGGGTCATTTGATGGTGTTTGTACTATTCTGGTATTTTAGTACCTCAAGAAATGTGATGGGCAGTCAGAAAGTAAAAGCTATGTAAATTCCATTATCTATACCATAGTTTGTAGACGCTATAACTTTCACAAAAAGCAATCAATATACACTTATTGGGATTTTTTTAACCAAAAACATGTAGCAGAATACATTTTGGCCTAAATTTATGACGAAATTTTAGTTTTTTTAGATATTTTTTATGACCAAAATGAGAAAATATAGTTTTTTTTTCAAAAAAAAAATTTTTTCTTCAAAAATTTTCTGGTTATAGCGCCAAAAATAAAAAGTGCACAGGTGATCAAATACCACCAAAAGAATGCTCTATTTGTGTTAAAAAAAAGGACATAAATTTCATTTATGTACCGTATTGCATGACCGCGCAATTGTCCGTTAAACTAGCGCAGCGCTGTATAGCAAAAAAATGTCGTAAATTGCAGTATCTATACCATAGTTTGTAGACGCTATAACTTTCACACAAAGCAATCAATATACACTTATTGGGATTTTTTTTTTACCAAAAACATGTAGCAGAATACATTTTGGCCTAAATTTATAACTAACTTTGAGTTTACTATATATTTTTTATAGCTGAAAGTAAAAAATATTGTTTTTCTTCAAAATATTTGGTCTTTTTTTGTTTATAGCGGGAAAAATAAAAAGCGCACAGGTGATCAAATACCACCGAAAGAAAGCTCTATTTGTGTGAAAAAAAGGACGTAAATTTAGTTTAGGTGCAGCATTGCATGACCGCGCAATTATCAGTTGAATTAGTGCAGCGCCAAGTAGCAAAAAGAGGCCTGGTCATTAAGGGGGGTAAATCCTCAGGAGCTCAAGTGGTTAACTAGTGTTTTCAGTTTGTGGTGCTCAGATTCAGTAAAGTTCCACTTTAAGAATCATAGTTACATGGCTATCTTTGGTTTTAGTACTCTGAGTCCCTGACTTGAGACAAACAATGAGACTCGAAAATCAGAACTCCTGATCAACATACTTGTTCCAGGTCAGTGGCTCAGAAAGTACTGAAGATATTTGAAAAGCATAGCAGCCAGGGAACTAGTATTTTCAAAAGGAGGGGTAAGCAATGGCAGGCTGCATATTCTCTCACAAGTTTTTTTTTTCAGCCAAACAGCTCTCCACTATGAAAGTTTGAACCTAATTGATCAGAGGTTGACAGGAGAGCTTTAGGTTCATATTAGGTTTTGTGGCATATTTTGCCTTTGAAGGAAACAGATTTATTGTCACTGTGCTCACAGCATGATAATTGGCAGTGTATCCGCAAGCAGCGGCATCCAACGAAATACCGTATAAGAACATCAGTAGATTCCACTCTGTTCTCATTAACTCCTTCAGCCTAATTTAAAAAAAATATACATAAATGTTAAAGTATTTCTAAAATCTAAAGCTTCATTCATACAGGAGACAGGGGCGGACTGACAACTCATGGGGCCCCCGGGCAATAGGGGATCAAGGGGCCCCTGTGTCCTTGCCCAAACTCAAAAAAGCCTATGAAAAAGGAACCAGGGGCATCTCATGGGGCCCCCTACTGACCCCAGGCCCTCGTGCAGTGCCTGAGTTTCCAGATGGTCAGTCTGCCCTTGACAGGATCTATGGAGCATAAAGCGTGAATAAGGAGCTCATTTCTGCATTCAGGGCCTTCCACACCTTTTAAATTAGAAAGCACAGCTGTGTCCGCACAACTGCTGTGTCCCTATTCAGTAACATAGGCTGCCTGCCACAAAATGAAACTGCTAGTTCACGCGGCATGCCTGTGTGAATAAAGCCTAGATTTTATTTTTATTGTGGATAGGGTAGGGGGTAAAATCACTGTGAGACTTAGGCTGGCCATAGACGGGCCGTTTATCGCTCGAATTGTCGGCCGATAAACGAAAAATCAGTCGTTGCTGCCATGGATACTGCCACCAATGCTTAAGAAAAATGGCCATTTTTCGTGAATTTTCCAGCATGACCGATAAAAAGAAATGAGAAGATCCGCGAAAAACGGCCGATGGCATTGCCCCACTAACGGTGTGAATATCGGCCGATTTTTCGTTCGGACGAAAATTCGTCCGATAAATGACCTGTCTATGGCCTGTATTATTTTGGGGGCTTGCCTTCACATCCTGGTGTGTAAACACAAAAGGAAGTGAGAGGCAATCGTTAGAAAATTTCCACCAAAACAAGGGTTTCCATTGGAAGATTTTAGTATATTCTGGGAAAATCAGTAAGCCAATCAAATAAGCAGGGAATTACATTTTGGTGTATGGAATGCTGCCAGGTTGCCACATGGCTTGAATTCTTACAGCGGCTACAGATTGAAGAGAAAAAGTCATTTTTAAAAACATTCAATTACAAAATGTCTTGGGTAGGAATTGTATAGGTATTGTGGCAGTACGGTATCCTGCCACGATGGAAATCATGATGGACACCCAGGATTCTCAACTATACAGGTTGAGGGGCTCCAGGCAGATCTCATAATGCAGAGGAAACTGGTTTATCAGTTTCCTCTTTGGTTTTTAAAGCCTGTTTTGGGACCTGTAGCCTGGAGATTTCTTAGAGATTTAGGAGGGATGAAATCTCCCATCCTGGGCCTATATTTTGGGAGCAGCCAGCGTGCTGATTGCACAGGTGTGTGCAGGCCTTTTTGTGGAAGCCAGGCCATGATTCTGGGCTCCACCCCGGCAGATAGGAGTCAGGAGGGCTCCACCCCGGCAGGCAGGCACCCCGGAGGCAGGAGGTCACTGCCTTGGAGTCAGGTGGGCTTCACCAAGGAGAGGTGGAAGCCAGACTAGCTGTGTGCTAGAAGTTTGCTGTGTGTGCAAAAACCAACCTTTTGGAAGAAGTCTGTAGGAGACAGATATAGAGCGGTATAGCTGAAAGAGTCAGAAGGCTGAATTGATTTGTTTGATGGTGGATACCCCTGCGTGGGAAGCATTTTTGTTATCTGAACTTTCTTGTAAATAAAATTGGGCAAAAAGGCCCTTAAAGAAGCGAGTCGCTGTGTGTGTGAAATGAAAAGCTCTACCACTTTGAAGCGAGTTCCCACAGTATGTTATATTTTTTTTACAAAAGTGGAGTTATCCTTTAACCACTTGCCTACAGGGCACTTCTACCCCCTTCCTGCCCAGGCCAATTTTCAGCTTTTAGTGCTGTCACACTTTGAATGACAATTGCGCAGTCATGCAACACTGTACCCATATAAAATTTTTTATCATTTTTTTAAAGACAGATAGAGCTTTCTTTTAGTGGTATTTAATCACCTCCTGGGTTTTTTATTTTTTGCTAAACAAACCAAAAACAACTGAAAAGTTTGAAAAAAAAATGTTTTTTCTTAGTTTCTGTTATAAAATTTTGTAAATAAGTGATTTTTCTCCTTCACTGATGTGCGCTAATGGGCTGCACTGATGGGCACTGATAGGTGGCACTGATGGGCACTGATGAAGAGGCACTGGTAGGTGGCACTGATGGGCATTGACAGGCATCACTTATGGGCACTGAAAGGCAGCACTCATATATGTCACTGATAGGCGGCACTAATAGGTGGCACTGAAAGGCGGCACTGACTGACACTTGGCAGCACTGATTGGCAGCACTAATAGGCGGCACTAACTGGCACTGATAGGTGGCACTGAAAGCAGCTCAGATGGGCACTGATATGTGGCATTGATATGCATTGATGGGCACTGACAGGTGGCGTTGATGGGCACTGACAGGTGGCACTGATGGGGCTACACTGATCATCAGGGAACACTGATCATCAGTGCCCTGATCATCAGTGTACATGTCCCCTCTGAGGAATGCCGATTACCAGCTCTCCTCTCCTCAGGAGCTGTCAGCATCACAGCTCGTGAGGAGAGGAATGCCGATAACTGGCATTTCCTTATTTATATGCAATCAGCTGTGATTGGACACAGCTGGTCACATAACAGAGCCGGCGTCTTCGTCTCTTTCCGTTGATCCGCTGTGTCCCAGGGACACAGTGCACCAGCGATCGCCGTGCTGCACGCCCCCGGGGGCGCGCACGCATGGTTACAGTAGGAGGACTTATCACTTTGTGGACATTTTTATAATTTTTTACTATTTATTGCAATTGTCACTTTAATAAGCACCATCAGTCACTTTTCAGTGACAACATACAGTGTCTGTCACTTTATGGACATATTAGTGTTATTGCTACATGGTCACTTTATGTACACTAACGGGGCCCTGGAACCTGAACTCAAGGACTTTGTACCACAGACAGCCATCACTCACTTTGGGGTGTTGAATGGACTATTCTGGGGGACTTTCTCTCTGGAGGACATTGACGGCGCCTGGTGGGTGCTGTGTTGTTTTAAGGACGCTTTATGGTGCGCCAGAAAGCGCCTCATCCACCAGCGGGAGAGGATGTCCATTGAGGACTGCCGCAGACTGATCCTCAGTCTGCTCAGAGACTATTCCTTGATGGACTTTAAGGAGGAAGAGGACGTCTGAAGATTTCCCCTTCCCCCTACTCCCCCTTGCGTGTCTTTGTCCCTTCAATAAAGCTTCCGGCCTGTGTTTTCCCCCATTTTCCCCCTCCCCCCCACACACCCCGATGCTTATTGTAGATTGTAAACTCCGGCTTTCGTTCTTCGTTTTCATAGTACTGTTATCAGGATGCTATGGTTTTTGGGGTAAGCGGCGTTATGCATGACGTGTTGGTCCGGGGGATTCATCCTCCACGCACATCACGTCAGGTATCATACCACTGAGCGAATGTATTTATTTCTGAATGTATTTATCGTATGCTTGGAACTGTATTGCAATGTGGTGCGCTGCGTCGCAGTACAGGGTGAGATGTACCCCGATTACAAGTATCATGTTGTTTTTGATGCTTCTGCAATAAAAGTATCTTTTCAATCAAAAAAACAGTCACTTTGATTAGTGATTTTGTTCATATCCTCATATTTTTGGTTCATATTTAACCGCATTGGCACTTTTGGTCTATTTGCACTTTAATAATTTTAATTCAGTCAGGTTTTAGCGCTGCACCTATTATATCCTATAGCTGTGAAAGAGGGCTGAACTCTGCACACTGTATGTAGCACACCCCTGAACTCTACACTCTGTATGTAGCACACCCCTGAACTCTACACTCTGTATGTAGTGCACCCCTGAAGTCTGCACTTAGTTTGTAACGCAACCCTGTACTCTTTACCTAGCACACCCCTGAACTTTGCAGTTTGTATGTAGTTTATCTTTGAACTCTGTACTCTGTGTGTAATGATCCCTTAAACTCTGCACTCTGTACATAGCACACACCTAAACACTGCACTCTGTGTGTAACGCACCCCTGAACTCTGCAGTTTGTATGTAGTTTATCTTTGAACTCTGTATGTAATGTTCCCTTAAACTGCACTCTGTGCACAGCACACACCTAAACCCTGCACTCTGTGTGTAACGCACCCCTGAACTCTGCACTCTGTGTGTAATGCACACCTAAATTCTGCATTCTGGACCTAATTTTAAGATGATCTTTTTCATTTCTGCGAGTACAAACTGGCATTGGAAATGTCAAACAGCCCGTAATGACATGCACACCTAGGGTGATCCAAGCATACATGTTTATGAAAAGATCTTTATCAGGCTGATACTGTTCATGCAAAAAGTACTTCCTGAAGCCAATGGCCATTAATTTACCTTAGTTGGCCCTTACACTGATTGTTTTCCAGGATCCCCTCCTGCAAAGCTCCTATCACCTTAGATATTTTATTCTTCTCTATAGCTGGGAGTTTTCTCCCCACCCAAACACACACTGATAATATCACCTGCCCTTTGTCACTTGGCTGCTGTCCGAACTCTCAAAGGTGTGTTTCATTTACCAAGTGAGCAAATAACACAGAGCCAATTACTACTTTACTATAAGTTCTGGTCCATCAGGCCTTTTGGCTAGGTGGACAATGTTGGAATTCCTTTGTCACTGTCAGGAGTCTTGTGCCTTGAGGGATCAGGGTAGATGCCCTGCCTTTGGGGGGGGGGGGGGGTGGACAAAAGCACACCCCTAAGTGCACTTTTTTGTGTTTGGTGTTTTGCATTCGCATGTTTTTTGTTCACTTACAGGTTTTCATTTTTTTGCACCTCCGTGGACTTAAAATAGATAAGTTCCGTGCATATAACCTTTTTCTTTCTGAATTTTCCAGCCTGCTGCTGGGAATATTGGGCAAATATTGGCCAGCACTGGTGTGGTGTAATATTTTTATCAACATAAATGGTCATTCTCTTTGACAATAGTGTCAGAAGTTTCTGGGTTGTTGAAAGATAAGGATGGCCACATTCATTCTTAGGCTGCATTCCCACTTACAGTTACGATAAAATGCAGGGAAAATTAATGTACATTTCTATCCATTTTATGTGCATTTTTACACACTTTTTGACTTGCGTTGATGTGCGTTTTGGCATGCCTCAATAAATGCAAAGCTTTCTTCAATTGGACAAGGTGGAGAGGCGTTGTGGTGATATCACAATTTCCACCTCGTACAATGAGAGAGAACTTTGCATTCATTGTGAAAAGTGTTAACTGAATGGTGCGGGTGTCAAGCAAGCAACCTCCTGTTTTCACTATTATTATTATACAGGACGTATATAGAGCCGACAGTTTGCTCAGCGCTTTACATTATGGT